GGAGCCATCAGGGCAGTATATTCCTCCGAAACATCTGTAAACAACTACCAGACTACATGGCGTCACATCACAGGTGAAGGTACAGTTACCGCTGTAAGATTCCCAAATATCACGAAGTCATGTCTGGTTTCGTAAAGAGGTCAAGTTGTACCTCTGACTGATTAATTAAGGACCATGCCAAGAAGACGCATGGGCGAATGGAGGTATAGCTCCATCATTTTTGACCTGGGCATTGCATGGAGGTTAGAGGACAGCTTCACACCCCAACTGCCCTTTCCCTAGCTCACACTGTACCCACTGGTTGGGCTGGGTGAGTCCCAGAGCCTGTCTGGACACTGTGGAGAAGAGATAAGCTCTTGTCTTTACCGAGAATCGAACCCTGGCCTTCCACCTCGCAACCCATTGCTGTACTGACTGAGCTATCGCCACTGAAAATCAGCCACGACCGATTCTTACACCGGTCGATGCGATATATAACTACATGAAATTATAAAACCTGTAATGTTCATCACCATCGTCACAAAAGTGCACGGTTCGGCCATATACTAAACCAGTAGTGGAACTGACAGTCGCTCAGCTGGTCAAGAATTCTCAGCGGGCTGTGAAATCCGAAGTCTCATTACCCAGAATTACTTGACCAGTTGAGCGACTGTTAGCTTCTCAGGAATGACCACCACAAGCTCCCCCCTCGACTCCAGCTGCAGTCCCGGATGTCCTGTGCTACTCGCTTTGTGCCAACGTTGCACTCACCCACGGGTGAAAGTGTTCGAGGTGGCCGCCAGTGTTGCCACTTCGCATTATAAGCAGATTCTTTGTTTGTTTGTTTGTCTTTAACGACGCTGTCAGTAGCTGAGACTGTAGCGTCCAATAGTTACAAACGTCTGTCCCTGCGCTTGATTAATTAAGCACAACGCGATGAAGACATAGGGGGGGAGTGGAGATACAGCTGCACCATTCTTGACCCCGGCACTAGATGGAGGTGAGTGCTCAGCTTTACAACCCCGGCTGCTTTACCCTCGAAAAGGGTCCCCAGTGCCCATTAGACAGGAGCCTGGGTGGGCCCCAGAGCCGGTCTAGACGCTGTGAAGTAGAAAAAAATTCCTCTACCGGGAACCGAACCCAGGCCGTCAAGTCCGTAACCCGTCGCTATACCGACTCCATAGAGTCCAATAGGAGATTGGAAGGGATGTGGAAGGAAGTGGTCGTGGCCTGATTTCAGGAAAACAGGAAGAACGCGAGTTAGGAGAGTTGTGACCGGGCCGAGATTCTACCCGCACCCCTCGGACACAGGGTAGGCTACCGGTTGCACAACCGCTGAACCTGGGTTCGATTCACGGCGAGGGTAGAGACTTTTCTCCACAGCGTCCAGACCGCCTCTGGGACAGATTGAGCCCTGTATCCAGTGGATACCGGGGCCCGTTCTCCCGGGGGTAAGGCGGCCGTGGCGTGAAACTGACCACTCGCTGTCATCTGTGGCCGAGGTTACGAATGCGTGGAGCTATACGCCCATTCCCCCATACGTCTTCATGGCGTAGTACATAGCACATGAGCAACTTTATCTTTCCCTTATCTACTTTGTTCAAAACATCATCAGCTAAAGCCAGGGGAAACTAACAGTTGCCCAGCTACTCAAGAAATTCCCATATGAAACCCTAACGTTCATTACCGTGACCACAAAACCCTACCACTACTCCCTATCCTGTGCCAGACGAGTCCATTCTACAAGCTTACTCCCATTTATCTAAGATCCATTTTAATATTATCCTTTGATAGCCGAGATCTTCCCAGTGGTATCACTCCTCATCATATTCCTAGAAAAATTTTGTGTGCATTTATCTTCTCCAATACGCGCTACATATGCAGTTTCCTCCCTCTTCCAGTCACTTCCTCCCCTCAGCCCCCTGCTCTCGGACAGCCTCGTGGTACGGTACTGCACTTCTGACGCTGCTTTGGGTCTGAGGCGGTGAGCAAGAGGCAGGACCAGGGCTGCGAGGGGCGGCACGGTGTTGTCTAGAACCTGAATCCTCTGCTTTGACTTCCTGAAGCCGCCAAACAGACCAACGTCGGGCATATCAGTGTTCAAGGCCGTCGGGAAGGCAAAGTCGCACCTGGCCAGCGGCGATTTCATGTCCGCGGTTAGCCTTTCGCAAGGTTCTCCCGTTTCACCTAACATTTCACCAAGGTTGAAGTTACAGAACAAACTTCCCTGCATTTAGAAGAGTACTGACTCCGTGTTTACTGACGTTTCGGAGGAACGCACTGCTTCCATCTCCACGTTCGAAGAGTAAGCCAAGCAAGTAACCAATAAGAAAAATCTTACTTGCTTCGGCCTACACGGCGTCATATCCCACGAGATAATGCCATTTATAGTCAGCGCTGTGATGAGCTCAAGCCTGACGGTTTGGGCATGGTTTCCTTAATCCTTTCCTAAAATAAGCCACGGCCGCGTGTCTTAGCACGCTTACCTTCGTTACCATAAATCTTCCTCACTCGTCGGAACTCAGCTCGAATCGGCAAATGTCTGGAGTTCCTTAAGCATCTCTGAAGACAGTAAGGGACATAGACCTTATAATAGACCTCGACCACTTCCTTCATTTGCCTTCTAAGCTTCTCCTTGACGAACCGCACGTGGAGTTGGGTTACTTCGGCCGCTGACGCCCACGTCATAGCCTACTTACGTGACATGCAAGAGTCGTTTAATTACGCACGAGTCAGCTGTGAGTATCCCGCTGTTATTTTGGGAGATAAACCCGATGTTCATTGCGTCATACAGTATTTTTGGCAGTGTATGTGACACGCAACATATTTGGCAACGTGTCAGCGAGACTGGCTCTAATATACGTAAGTTCCTAGATAATCCCAGTGGTTTTACCAAGTTACTCCAAGTAAACGCTTTAAAGTATCCTCCAGGTATTTCTTTGGTACTGACGGTGGCGACAGTATGTTCCTTCGAAACGTCGGTAAACTCTCCCGCTACAGTACACTGACACTTACCGCCGCAGTAACGTGACTGAGAACAGCAGAAGCAGCTACTGCTTCCGGTAGTAGTAGTAGTAGTTGTTCTCGTGTTGAATGTTCGGGTTTTGCTGCCACAGATAATGCACTAAATTATTGGTCTATACAACGCCCCACTACCGGTAGCTCAGGGTGTGTAGGAAGCGAGCGAATCATCTGCTCGCCAGTCGACGCTACAAGAGCAGTGCAGTTCAAACAGCGTCTGTAGAAACCCAGACATCGGCCAGCCAATACGACAGTCTTCTCGAGCTACTAGAAACGCCAGTTAATCATAAATCACGAAGTTGTATGTGAATTACGAGTCGAAACGAGCTCCACAGTGCGAGGTATTTATTGACAAGCTGACAGTTAGTCATCTGGTCAGTAATCAGCGCTGCAACAGACTTTCCTGACGTCGAGCAGGACATCCTTGTAGGCCTATTTGAATTTGGTGTGAGCGTGGACTGGATTAATCTGGCTCACGATAGGGAGCTTTTGTGGACACGGTAATGAACTTTCGAGTTACATAAATGGAATGTAATTCTTTGATTAACTAAGCGGCTCTAAGCTTGCAATGGGGGACCCGGCTCCAGGAAGTTACATGAACAGACAAGAAATTGCAAAGGTCATGTTTTCTGTGGCATATCTCAGTCTCTCCAGGCGCATGCTGGGATAGTATCTATAATTAGGCCACGACCGCTTCCTTCCACATCCGTTCCACTTCATTATTCGCTAATGACTCTATCACTCGACTCTGTATAGTCAGAACAATATAAAATGTTGACTTTATGTGCGGTAATATCACAATGATGCTGTTTGAGACTATGACGATACAGTGCGCCGGTAGAGCGGTGCATTCGCTATTTGCAGGTAGTATTAATCCTACCGGTAGCTGGATCTGCCAACAGCAGTCACTCTGCTGTAAGCTGTCGTTATCTTCATGATGAATGCATATTTGAAAGAACTTTTTGAAACCTTTGTTTTATATGGACTGTATACTCGTGTATGTACGTATATATATATATATATAGTCTCTAATCTGGATTAATTGTGGGGAGAGGTGATCCGGATTAAGCGATAATCCTGTTTAATGTCCATGGTTTATGCTAACCGTCTTACAGTGTATACACTTTTTCACCTTATTCTTCACGTCCACACTACATGTTTCAGCACTAATGTGCCATCCTCAGGTGTCTTTATGCACGTTAAACTATTGTACTGCATGCCATGATGTCTTCATTCTAAAATGACTAAAATCTGTATTCGTCACATATGTCGATGAATTCTAAATAATAAAACTTTTCAGGATTCATCCTACGTCGCACTCAAAACACGCGAATTACGCTGATCCTCTTTTATATGAGCATTCTTCCTACGTACATTTGTGTATCGTGTTCTGTGTTGTGTTTTGCTCCTGTTACTGCATGCGTTGTACTGCCGGATATCCTGATTACTGAAGCAAAAGTTAGCCTTTAACAGACAAAAAACAATCTTAGGAAAGAAATGAGTGGAAAGCTTAATAATGTAGGCAGTGCTGATGGAAATACATAAAAGAATATCACTGCAGCAATTTCCTGCTGTCACAAGCTGAAATTCTCGGTCTCCTTCATCCAGCTGAAGCCAATCTTGGATATTTACTTGCGTGGCTTCAGTCTCTCCAGCCGCCCTCAAAACAGTCATATTTCGATCCTGATTATCGACATCCGGATTAGCGAGGGGTTGCTATACATATGTAGATACACATACCCCCCCCCCCTTCTTTTCAATATTGGATGTTAGGATTGTATTGTGAGAGCACTAAGCGGAGCCCCTTTCGAATGAGTGAGAACTGCAAAGACGAAGGACCGGAAGGGGCCATACTTTGTGAACATGCTGTAGTGGTGCACCGCGGATAACCCTGATCTCGACGCATTCCTACATGAGTCAGTCCCCATTCCGTACACGGCTGTGTCTAAATTTAGGAAAGATGCGCTGTAGCGTCGTGTTGTCGTGTGCTGCAAGCATCTGGAACAATCCGCGATGCTCCAGGGAGGCGCGTATATAAGTAAGGGCCGTCGCGACGCTAGCCATAGTGCGTCGCGGTTGTGAATAGCAGAGCAACTTCCGGAACAGAGGTGAGTCGTTTCTTCCAGAGTGTATCCGCGTGAAGACCGCTGGGTGGTGAGAAAGTGTTTGCCATCATCACTACACATCTTAAGCCATTCTTCTGCATAATCCCGAGCGGGGCACGCGGTAGCGTGGTTGGTTGAGGTACTGTGCTACAAGCCGGAAGGTCGCGAGTTCAGTCCCGATGATGACATTGGATTTTTCAATTGAACTAATCCTAGCCGTACTATGTATGGCCCTGGTGTCGACTCAGCCTCTAACAGAAATGAGTACCAGGAATCTTCCTGGTGGTAAAGGGCGGCCGGCCGGCGCGTAAGGTTCTCACCGTCATCTATGAGCCGATTGTCTAGAAAATGTGGGAGCATCGACGTCTCACAACCCTATGGGCCTCCACGGCCTGTCACAGGGGTAGCTTTACTTTTTCTACATAATCCCCACGAAAGTTCAGGCGCTTGTATGGTGTGACGGGTTTCCGTATGCTTGCATAGCAGAAATCTGCCGCCAGTCTTCAACGCTACCCACGCTCGTGCCGCCCAGGAACTACGTCAGGTGTGTGAACAAGTGAAAATGACTTGGAGCCAGGTTCGGACTGTAGGGGAAATGGGGAAAGTGCCATGCAATGTCAGCAAGCAGCACATATGTGTATCCTTTGTGGGGACCTCGTACCTTACTGGTCGGAAGTCCACTGTGTTCAGCGGATTGTTCATGTGACGATTTTGGTTCCCACCGCGTTGTAGAGGGGATCTAGTTCCTTTCTTATCATGGCTTAATGATCAGCATCGGTATCTGTGTAACTCAGATTGCATAGCACCCTAGGATAGGTAGGATTCTGATGCTGGTGGTGGTGGTGGACGTTCGGGGAAGGAGAACCGGGGAATCGGTGCTCCATTCTCGGCAAGGCAAGAGATATTTCTCTTGTCCACGGCGTACAGACCAGCTCTGGGGCCCATCCAGTGGGTATGCCAGAATTTTCCCAAGGGGTTAAGTCGTCGGACACTGAAGCTGAATATTCTCCTCCATGTGGCCCTGAGGATAAGAATTCATTAAACTGTATCTCCACTCCCCCACTCGTGTCTAATGGAGTGTGTGGACTTCTTTACCTTCAGCTATCCTCAGAATATGGTAGAAAGTTACCTGCGTTTTGGAAGCACCTTCTGCCACAAAGATTGGGCTAAGAGAGACCAATTATATGAATTTCTCCTTTGTCCCATGCCTGCTACATCTGCCACCCATCTCTCCTGCCATAATTTCATCACTGTAATAATATTTGATGAAAAGTACAGATTATGACTTCTTATTATGCAGTTTTTCCCATTGTTCTGGCACTTCCACCATTTCGTATCCCAATATTCTCCTCAGTGCCCTGTTCTTATAGTACATCTCTAGTCTGTGTTCTCTCATTGCTGTAAGTGAACAAGTTTCAGACCCATACAAAAACAACGAGCAGAATTATAGTTCATTATATTTTTATTTTTATGATTTTAGACAACAAACAGCAAGACAGAAGATTCTGAAATGCATGATTCCAGGCATTTTCCAACATCACTGCAATTTTCCATTTGGCATTAGGTTGAAAATATTATATTTTTGTCTCTAGTAGACAAACTTTAAATCATTCTGAAAAATGCATTTTGAATATGTGTCAGTGTGTGTTGTAGTACATTTTTTAATTATTAGTGTATGTTCTGAAGTCATGATGAATGAATGTTCAGTTCATAAGATTGCATCTCGTAATCAACAAACACTCTTTTCATAACCTGAACGTTCGAAGCAGTTAATACTAAAACTCACTAGTTGACACAGCCTAAACTATCTAATCTAAACCATTTGCACAGACTCCATAGTAATAGTAACATTCCAAGTCTTTCTTCGTGATCCAAGTGACCAGTTTCGAAGGCATTTGCCCAGTAAAACTGCACATACACTCTTAACCACGTGAGCTATTAACCTGTCATAATCTGTGTAGGGTTTGGGATTCTCACATTGGTAGTTATGAAGAGTTACACCTTCTGGAATATAATACCATGTACTTTTTGAAAGTCAGTTGACCTTTTGGAAGAAAATATCACCTCCATCTTCAGGGTCAAAAATAGCCAAACAAGAAACCACAGCCAGGCTCTACTTGGTACCTTCTTCATCCTGGCTTCTTGTGCGTCTTATTCTTCAGTCCTGAAGATTGAGTAAACATGTTCTGCCTTAATCCCAATTGATTTTCAACAGACTACACAGTGCTATATAATAGAAAATAGAACTCTTCTGTCATATAATCGTACTTCTTGACATTCTTCTCCTGAAAATCTTCCCTGATGACACAGCTCATAATTACACAATGTTCTGAACTGCTCACTGATTCATTCTCCTGCTCAGTCACTGCTGAAAATGTCACTGGTGCCACTCCTCTTCCGTGACTGGTGGGATGATCTTGACCGACCCTCCCGCCTGATTGACCAACACTTTGGACTGGGGTTGAGGCACCATGATCTGCTTCACCCAGGTTCCCTGCTTCGGACTGGATACATCCGCCCCTGGAGAAATATCACTCGGCAAGACAGTGGCTCTTCCAGCATCACAGGTGACAAGGACAAGTTCCAGGTGAGTGGATCATATCACTGAGTTTTGTTCCCTTGAAGCACAAAGTTCATCTAAACAGGACGCAACAGTTCATCCTTCTCCATCTTCACTTTATCCCTGAAGATGGAGGTATCACATCCCTCCAAAATTATGCTATCTTCTATTAGAATCTCTCAGTCCTGTCTGTGCCTTTGCCAAATGCAACTTCGATCTTTAAATGAAAAGGTAAAATTTTCGGATTAAATATTTAAACTTGAATCTTGAAGCTTGGGCAAGTTTAACTTTGACCTTCAAACATGGCACCTGGAAAATCCAAGCCTGAAGTTTGGTTTAAATGTGGCATTCAGCATGTCATGTTCCTGGATGAAAATTTAAATTTAAGAACTCAAACAACTTGAACTGGAAACTACTGCTCTGTTTAACCCCTTTTATGGCACTGGTAACTATATGTACCCTTTTATTTAACATAAAATTACTTGGGATTTCTTCCATGCAGTCTATGTGTGGGGTTCATTTGGCTGTGAGAACTATGATTGTTTCCCTAAGCATTTCTGGACTGGTCTATCTAATGGAGTTGTGATGTGTTCTGAGAGGTAAGACTCTCTTTACAGAGCCTTATCCTCGCCAAGTCCCAAGTTGCTGTTGCATGCTTCTCACGCAGCCCTCCTGACTTAAATTTACCAAAATTGAACCCCTCTGCTGTAAAGGCCACTACATTTAGCCATTCAATTGTCTTCACTTTCACAGTGCCCATATCGGAACGATGAGCAGGTGAAGCCTGGGAACCTTAAAAAAAGTGGATTCTGACATCTTCCATGACTCTCCTTTTTGCCTGTACTGTCTTACCTCTCTCTTTCCATGTTAGGTGGGAAAATGTTCCAATTCCAATTGTGGCATATGGTGGATGTTTTTCAGTGTTTCAAAGGCGCGTAAAGTTTATGTCCTCCATTAAAGATGGATGTTCCTCTGAAATGTTGATGTTTGTGTGCTGGGTTATACAGTGTTATGGCTTGGATGGCCACAGAATGAATCATCATTGCCCTGAAAATCTCATCCAAAGTATTCCAGTGTTTCAGAGAGACTTTTGACTGTCGTGTGAAGGGTTAATTTGTGAATTGATCATGAAACACTTGTCAGGAGAAAATAATTGCAGGAGGTCCTTGTATTTGATCAGTATTGCAGTATCAACAATAGAGAGACTTCATGTCGATTTGGTGAGGAAGGAGGGAGGTCTTATCAGATCATGCAACTAAGAGAGGCAATCCCTGTGCAGGTGATTCTGGACGTACAGCAGTTTGCGCCCAGTGAGATCACAGTCAAGACGATTGACAACGCAGTCATTGTGGAGGGGAAACATGAGGAAAAGCAGGATGAACATGGCTACGTATCGCGCCACTTTGTGCGCCGCTACATCTTACCGAGTGACATCGAGGTCAATAACATCGTGTCCAGCTTGTCATCAGATGGCGTCCTTACGGTCACTGCCCCCAAGAAGGTACAGCTTGTCACACACACCTGTTTAAAGCTTGCCTGTTCTTATTATATGTTCTTCTGAACATGGTATTGAGTGTGAAGATCCGTGTCTTGTGTGGTTGATATCTTGTTGCCTGGTGGCTGTGTCCATCTTCAGCCTAGAAGAGTAATATTTCATAGCATCCCATTGCACATCACTTATTTATTTGTGTTAGTCAGCTGTCTCACGTGCAACTTCCTTTTGAAAGCCTTTATAAGTTTTAAACGTTCAAATTTTTTATAAATCACTGGAGTATGCACACTACATGTTTCGACCAACACTGGTCATCTTCAGGTGTTGATGACGCTGCTGTGCTTCCATCTGTAAGTTCAATTTTTGGGGTATGCCAATGTCTATGCACCCATGTGTCCTCTGGTGATGAGTAGTTCCTCTTATTGTGTCACATGGAGCTGTTATGAATGTTTTGTAGACGAGGGTGTATCCCCAAAATCGAACTTGTAGGACAGAAGCACATAGTTTCAACAACAATTTTATAGACACCTGAAGATGACCAGTGTTAGTCGAAACATGTAGTGATGTAGAAGAGATTTTAATGTTTAACGCCTTTGAAGGTTTTAAAAGCAGGTTGCATGTGAGACACCTAATGAATAGGAATATAGTATATAGAAGAGTAAATTGAGTATAAGAAAAAGTGGTACTAAAATGGGGAGAGGGAGGAACAGGACTGAGGAGACCAATAGGAGTAAGGAGAATGGTATAAAGAATATTTGTCCTCTAAAGGATCATTTTCCAAGGACAGATTGAATGGGGAAAATGAGGGCTCTGAGTAAACTGATGGGAGGGGAAGAAATGAGGAGAAATAGTAGCTTTCTAAAGCCCCCCCCCCCAGGACAGGGTGGATGGAGGAAAGTTAAAAACACCAATAGGAGCTGTTGCAGAGGGCACAGTATGAGTTTTGTCCAGAGAGATCTTCCACGCTACAGAGTAACAGAACTCAGAAGACAGTCATCTGCAGGATAGTGTACGTGTATATCTTGGCTGAGATCAGCAAGTCATATTACTCTTTCACCTAATAGGGTGGTCCCGTGTGGTTCAGTGATAACTTTTGGACACCTGTTGCAGGTACTTCTGCCACCATCCGGCGAGCGTGTTGTTCCTATTGTCCACACAGGTGTACCAGCTGTCAAGCCAGCAGAACAACCCATTGTGGAGACGCCCAAAGAAGTGAAGTCAGAGTCATGAATTCATTTATGTTCGAACTGTGTTGATTTGTGTAATAAACTTTTTGTATCGTCTACATTTTAAACACTTGGCTTGAAATTGTAAACTGTAAGTGTACATATAACAAGCTAATGTCATGGGCAAGAGGGTTGCTTGAGAAGGTAACAGTCTTTCTGTTAGTCAAGAAGTTCCTGCCTTTTGTGGGAACTGAAAGTTCATTACCATCCTCAAAAGATAATATCACTGATCCTTTCATGAGCCAGATTAATCCAGTATACATCTCCTGCTGTATTTCATTAGGATGTCTCTGGTTTTCCTATCGAAACTTGGCATGCCTTTCTGTTTTTCTCTCATGCACAATTCATTCCCAGCCCATCTCATCTTACTTGATTTTGTCTCTATCAATATTTGGTGAAGAGTACAAAATGTATTTTTCTCTTTCCTCCTGTCATTTACAAATATTCTTCTGAGTACCCTGTTCTCTGACACCATTTGTCTGTCTGTGTGAAGTTAAAGTCCCTGTACTTATGCACCATGGCATGAATATTTCTAAATACAGTTACAGTATTCCTGATGTTCCATACCCACATCTGAGCCTATCGCATCAAATGAGATTTGCCATTTGTACAGCTGTGAGTATGAAGTATGTGTTCTTCTGGTATAATAATGCTGGGTGATCTGGTAGCTAGGTAACCAATGTTTCAGAAGAAAATAATCCTTCTACAGGCTGTGTGACATAACATCTCAGAAGAATATAATCTATCACAGAGTCATCAGGGCTCTTTCAGCCATGTTTTCCAGGGTTTCTTACATATCTTGTGAGCTGCATGGCAATCACAGGACCTACATATCTCTGCCAGGCAGTTGCGTCCCTTCTGGGGCACATATGTGGACATATACTAAGGGGGATACAATCAGAATATGATGATTACAGATGTAATTATTGTGGAATATTAAGGAAGAGACATCATCGTCAATGATGCAACAGCCTAGGTTGAGCCCACACCTCTCCAAGGACATTTTGCCAGCCTTCTGCCTCCTGTGTTTCAGAGACTACTTTCCATATTGTCAGCCCATCTCCTTTTGGTTTCCCCTGCCCTTTGTACATTGGACCATGTAATTAGGATTCTCTTTGGCATTTTATTTTCTTCTATCCTTGTCATGTGATATGCTCTCTGCACTCTTCCAAATCTAATTGCAGCTGGAATACGTGGCTTGTCAAAAAGCTGAAGAAGTTCCAAGCAGAGACTAGGAAATAAAATACTAAAGATGGTTGCAGAAGAGATCAAATCGTAAGAAAACTACAAGAAAACTTGGTTAGTCTAAGGATGTAGTAGCAATATGGACAGGTACCAGACAGGTTGGTGTTGTGGTAATGCTCTAGACTTGCATTCATGAGTGAATTTCTACTGAGTATTTTCATAGTTTTCCCCAGCCCCTCCAAACGGATGTCAGGATAGTCCCTGAATTAGCTCACAACAGCTTCCTTCCAAATCCTCTTGAAGTCATCATTCATTCTACCATTTTACACAGTGCAGTCCAGATACTGATAGTTTTATGCATAGGTAGGAACAGGATTCCTTGAGAACATCAACAATAAAAATGACATATAAACATCCATTAGGGAGATCAAGGAGAAGATGGAGAGAGGATGTGAGGGAAATATATAAAAGAGAAGAGAGGGTAGTGAAAGAGTGGTCACAGAAAGAGCAGAAGTGGTTATGCTGGAATAGTCAGTGGATGATGATGATATCAGAACTCATGCAATACAAGCGGTAATACCACTGGGATATGCAGGGGCTGAGAAAATTTTGGTTGCAAAGTTTTGGTTTTTTATATCTAAAGTACAACATAAAATAAATTGTGACAGGTATTTTGATTCAATGTGAATGTAGTAAGGAGGTAAATTTGTCTTCCAGTTTAAGAAAGGCAACACGGAGCTGTATGACGGAGTGAATGTCTAGTTCCTTGCACTCCAAAACCTTCAAATATAGAATTGCTTCTGTAAAATGTATAAAAGTTCAGTTTGTATGTCAGAAGAAATATTACGTCTTCACCACAGTGATTACCTAGTTAATTCTGTTTACAATATTATACTTAAGCATCCTGTTGCACTCTACACGATAAATGATACAAACTCCATCCCAAGTGCAAACAATATATTATATGTCTTTGATCTTGTTCTCCTCCACACTACATGTTTCGGCCTCTATCGGCCATCATCAGATGTATACTCTTAACGTTGCTGCCACACTGAACCCAGTCTAAAATTTAACCTTTAAAAACACATTGTTATTTTCTTCGTATTATCAACATCTACCTCGTTGATATGTGTCTGGTATGTAGATTATATTGCACACGTCAAATTTGATTTTCCTGTAGTAGCACTATAAAATCTTTAGTTACGGTATGATTTTAAAATCCTTTAAAATTTTCTCTAAATTTTAAATTTTAAAGTTAAAATTTAGAGAAAATTTTAAAGGATTTTAAAATCATACCGTAACTAAGGATTTTATAGTGCTACTACAGGAAAATCAAATTTGACGTGTGCAATATAATCTACATACCAGACACATATCAACGAGGTAGATGTTGATAATACGAAGAAAATAACAATGTGTTTTTAAAGGTTAAATTTTAGACTGGGTTCAGTGTGGCAGCAAAGTTAAGAGTATACACCTGATGATGGCCGATAGAGGCCGAAACATGTAGTGTGGAGGAGAACAAGATCAAAGACATATAATATATATTGTTTGCACTTGGGATGGAGTTTGTATCATTTATAGTTAATTCTGTTCAGTCCAACAATTGATGTTTATTGTGAGAACTATACAAAACTCGCAAATGCCATCTGTGGCTAGAATGCAGAGTTTAGGTATGTTATAGGAGGTTGTACACACAAATAAGAAGGTTGGTCTAGAAGTAAACACAGAGAAAACTAAGTATATGTTGCTGTCTTGTCACCAAAATGCAGGGCAAAATCATGACATAACGATAGGAAACAGATGTTTTGGAAATGTGGCACAGTTCAAATACTTGGGAATGACAATAACAAATCAAAACCTGATTGAGGAGGAAATGAAGAGGAGATTGAACTCGGGTAATGCTTGCTACTGTTCAGTCCAGAACCTTTTGTTGTCTCGTCTGCTGTGCAAAAACATAAAAATTAGAATATACAAAACTATAATTTTGCCTGTGGTTCTGTATGGGTGTGAAATTTGGTCTCTGACATTATGGGAGGAACATAGACTGAGGGTAGGGGCCATGCCATAGCTCAAGCGGTTAGTTGCTGGCTTCCCACCGTGGCAGCCCGGGTTTGATCCCGGGTCTGGTCAAGTGGGATTTGTGGTGGACAAAATGGTGCTAAGGTAGGTTTCCTCCGAGTACTTTGGTTTCCCCTGCCAATCTTCATTCCACTAATTGCTCCACAATCACCCTCACCTATTATCTGGGGCTGGTACAATAGGCCAGAAGTGTTTATTAACTACTTCTTAAGTAGGAAGTTTTATTTAATAGTGTTCACATATTTTATTCATCTAATTTGTTATTATGGGTATGTCCCTTCAGTCATTGCATTATTTTGGCCATATTATTGTGTTCAGCATTGAACTAGCGAACATTTACATATTTAAGAATTTCTAGGTTCATTATATTGCTTCAGATATTTTATTATGCTGGCTATATTACTGTGTTCAGCATTGAACTAGCGAACATTTACATATTTAAGAATTTCTAGGTTCATTATATTGCTTCAGATATTTTATTATGCTGGCTATATTACTGTGTTCAGCATTGAACTAGCGAACATTTACATATTTAAGATTTTCAAGGTTCATTATATTGCTTCATATATTTTATTATGCTGGCTATATTACTGTGTTCAACATTGAACTTGTGAACATTTACATATTTAAGATTTTCAAGGTTCATTATATTGCTTCATATATTTTATTATGCTGGCTATATTACTGTGTTCAACATTGAACTTGTGAACATTTACATATTTAAGATTTTCAAGGTTCATTATATTGCTTCATATATTTTATTATGCTGGCTATATTACTGTGTTCAACATTGAACTTGTGAACATTTACATNCTATGTTTTGTGTAGCTTTCAAGTATAAGTTGTAATCAAAGTTATGAAGTTGAATACAAGTATCTCTGATGGAAACAGAATTTTCTTTCAAGTTTACCCACCATCAGCTTTCCTAAACACAAGTATTCTATATATGTTATAGTTCAAATATCCATTGCATTTCAGTAAGGGGGTGTTGAATTGATGTAAATGAAATGTTATTTTACAAACACTGGTGAGGAACTTTCTCCCCATAAATAATGTTGCAACCTGGTATCTTGTACTGCAGAGGTTCTTACTCATATGTGTGTTTTCTGTTTTCGAACTGAGTTTGATATCATTTAACTCATACCCCTCCAGTTGGTTTTGAGTGAAGTGATATTAAAATCAGTTCAAAAACAAAAAACACAATAGAATAAGAACCTCTGCAGTACAAGAGGCCAGGGTTGCAACATTATTTATTGGGAAAAAGTTTCTCACCAGTGTCTGTAAAATATGAACATTTCATTTACATCAATTATTATTTCTAGCTATTCCTGTGAACCAGTGATTCTTTGGGAGGGAGCAATACACAAAGGCTGGTGGTATGATAGCATACCCTCTTACCGACCGAGCTCTCGGCACTGGAGGCAGCTATTTTGTGTCGAGAGAGTGTCCGCTGGCCACCGCGGCAGCAGTGATGCCTAATGACGTCACGACGGTTATGTTGCCCGCCAATAGCGTTGAGCGTCACGAAGGGTCATGAACGGTCATGAAGGTTATGAACGTCATGAACGAAGGGACGGGTTTTGAGTTTGATTATGTCAACTTTAGTGTAGGTTATAGAATTGTAATTAATTAGTAATATTTACGTATGTTAAGGTAGTGTGATATGTTTGTAATGTAAAAGCTGTATGTGTATGGTGTGATGATTTCTTTTTATATGAATTTGTTCAGTAAGCAGGAGGTGAGGGTACTTGACAAATATTGCTCATCATACATCTTCGTGAATATATAAATTTGAATCATATAGACTCTTATTAGAAGTGCAGAGGCTGCAGTTCTGCAGTTGGGTTATGGTTGAACGTGTCTGTGCTTGAGCTCCGAGGT